GTGTGCCTGTGTATGTGTGTGTGAGAGAGAGTGTTAGAGAAAGACAGCCAGGCAGAAAAAACAAGGAAAACAGTGGCGGCCTTGCCAACATGGTGACAGAATGCGCCATGTGTGTTTGAAACACTGTGTTTGTGTGTGTGCGTGTGCGTGTGTGTGTGTGTGTGTGCGTTTGCCAACTATAAGTCTGCTGGCCAGCAGGGTCAACAGACAGACCGGTCACCATAGCAACAGTGTCACACTCATCCCCTCTGTGCCAAGTTGTAAATATGGAAATTTTATAAAAACTTGGACGTCTGGCTGCTGAAAAGTTTCAGGACGTCAGCATGTAGACACACAGGAGTCCCTTGTTCCATAGGTGGTCCATCTGACGACGAGCAGACGGGCCATTTGAAGGATTATATTACAGTATGTGCACCATGCTGCCTGCCTCATCTGGTAGACAGGGAATATAAGGTATCAAAATACCTCTACAAACTCACCTAACTGTTAGGTTTTCCAATGAAAAAAACATGCAAATTCTCCATCACTCACTCACTTTGGTTCTCCCTCTGGTACACGACCCTTTGTGTGGCCCCAGGGTGCTCACTGATGTTACTGCCATCAGTGGTGACAACACTCGAAAAACAAGTCTGTCAGATAATGAAACAGCGGCAGCTTCTGCATACCCAGTGTTGTGTGCGGTGTGTATTTAAGTGTGCTTTTTAAATGTGACAGTTTCCACAGTGTTGTCTGCATTCCTCTTTGAGCCTGCCGGGCAATTCCCCCAGCTAACAAGCTAGCTTTAGGCTAGCATTGCATAATAGCTGCAAAACAGAACATTTCTACTAATAGTAATGGCATTTCCAATTTATATCAACACTTTTGCTTGACAATATATCCAATATTTGTTTTCTAAATTCTGTATCCGGAAAACGTATCACAGACCAGAGTGTAATAAGAAGGGTTTGATCATAGTGATGAACCCGCAAAGAATCCTCACTTAGCTCTGTAGTTCCTCTTTTAATATCTTTCAGCTCTTTGTTTTTACAACTTTACTGTTTTGGTTCCCTCTCACAGCCCTTATCAACCGTGTTTTCAGGCAGTGAATAACTGGACTTTCGTCCAGTGCTCCCCTAATGCTACATTGCGGTTTATTTACGAGAAAATTACAGTAAAATGTTATCTCATGAAATTCTGAAACATTAGTACGTCAATACAATGGATGCTTGTATCGCTGTATGTGCCTGAGGATAGCAGCCAATGTGGTGCAATGATGTTGAAGTCAGCTGAAAGCTGAAAACTCTTTCAACATTATTATGTAAATCTTCCAAAAACAGTCAACATACACTATCGCGGTAGCACGTTACATCGACTACCCAAGGGTGCATGCTCCCGCACAGCTTGTACTGCCAGCTAAATTACTTTTGGGACCAGAGCAATACTTTGCGGTCTGTTTAACCGCATGCATCTCTCATGTGAATCCATGCTAATGCACTTCCTCTTCACGGAGCCGGCTCCATATCAGCGGGCCCATGCATTAAACATGGGGGCCGTTGAGGGGGGAACGTGTTGGAATACCAATATTTTTGACATGATAAATCTGCCTCGCCGTGTTGTCAAGCCAAAAGCATGATGGGAAGTACAAGCTCGGGGTCAAAAGAAAAAACTGACCTCCTCCGCAAGTGTGATTCTAATCTTTGTGTAAAAACACCATATGCAGGCACGGATTAAAAAAAAAGACGAGGTAGATTATGCAGACTTGGTCTCAGCAGAGAACAGAGACTTATGATGACGCCTTCGAATTCTGTCTTGTGATGCGTGTTCAATATTCGAGGTCAAAGGTCATTGAAAATGTTGTTGACTGTGTCTTTTTGGTGACCTGAAGAGCAGGGCCGCTTCAACCTGCTGGGGGCTAAAACGTTAACACAAGTAAAGGTGGTGAAATAAGGAAGCATTTAAAGGAATAGCCCTGAACTGAAAAATGAACTTGACTTCAATAATATTCATTAAATCCCCAAACATACTATCATTTCAACCATCTTTCAAACTAAGTTTTGTTGGTGACTCTTTATAACAACAGTAGTAAGAATAGTTGACTTTTGGACTTACAGAACACTTATTGTGTTTTATAACATTTTCTACTTCTCTAACTAGTCACAAGACACAAGTGCTACAAGATGTTTTAATGATTAAATATCCTGATTTCAGACATGATAATCAATAAATCATTTTTTGTTTACTGATTTATTGATGATGACAAACATCCTCTCATTCGGCGATGCGTGATCAGGTTTTATTCATCGCTCTCCTGTCACAAAAACCCTGGGATCCCTGTTGACTTGCTATCTCCTCTTCCTCCAGCAGAGGGTGCTGTGCATGCACAGATACCATATGTGAACGTGACCGCATGTCTAATCCGCACCACGTGCATCCAGCATAAAGTCCCGGCAGCTATCAATGCCTTGATAGCTGCCGGGACTTTCCCAAGGTGCGCAATGCCAAGGAAGTATTAAGGTAAGATAGTGACACACTCGCAATTTGCCGCTTGTAAAAACGATTTCCTGGTTCTTAATAATTCCTGTTAAGCACCGGTGTAATTTATAAGGTGGGGCAGAGTGTCTGATTAAAAGTGTGCCATTATGTGCACAAACATGCCACCACCACCTTGACCTGCATAATTAAACCAAGTCACAACATGCATAAACATACAGGAAGCTCACCTGCTCTCTGGAAAATAATTCATGTGTTTATGTTTCACCCAGATCCCTGTTGTTTCCCCCTTGCAGATCTGACCTTGATCCCAGAGGGAAAGAGGAGGAAAGGAGATTGTGTTTTTGCTGATGTCCGTTTATCTTTTTAGAGAGACACATGTCCTCAGAATATTAAGATAAGGAGAGGAGTGAGTGAAAACCAACAGAAATGTCTTCACTTTGACCAACTTATTGTGATTCTGGGTTGTATCCAGAGCAAAAGGTAGGAGTTGTGCACCTGGAGTTAAAATTTAATCCGGTGAAATTTTTAAATTCAGGTTCAGACCTGGGGCTGGAAGTGAACTTCAAGGATTTAAAGGAGGGGTAACTTACTAAATATATTTTAGATACAAATACAAGAGTAGCAGAACAGAGCTGTGTGTATTCATGTGTCTGTGTGAGTAGACCTTGAGCTTTCTGCCCTGATACCAGAGACAGACTGAGGGCCAAACGGACGGGTGTCTGGTTTCACTGAAACACCAGTTTTGGTAGAAATCCAAAAGGGCATGGTTTCGTTTTGCGTAATGCAAAGTTCAGTGGAGGTTTGAGGTAAATGTCACTGAACTGATGATGGCATCTTGTTGATTTCACTCCAACTGAAACAACCAAGTCTTTAATGATTTTTTTAAAAAGTATGATATTCATACCCACCCCTACACATTTCAAATTGAGTTTTATTGCTAACATATAGGCTAATATAACGCTTCATCTCCAGCTTAACACAAGGATAAAGTTGCAACCTTTTTCCATTAGCAATATGCAGTGTGAAGAAATCATTTTAAGAGGTTTAAGGTTAAAAAAATCTGATGCTTATAGTATATCGAGCGTATACATTTTTATTCTTTCAAATAAAAACTTTGATTCAACAGCGATAAATTGCAAGCTTGCTCAATTCTATTTGCTCTGGGATTGTCCTGCAACAGACAGTCCAGCCGCCTAGCCTATGTTGGCTAACGTAAGAGAATGTTAGCGAACGTTATTGCTAACTGACACTAGTGACTCAGTTTGTTGACTTCCTAACTTGATAATGTCCTATTTCCCAAAATGACTAGAAAAACCTCTGTTACTTGTTACTATAAAGATAAAAGTGTAAAACAGTGTAGCCTAGAGTGTTTTAGAGCACAAAAGGTTTGACTGAACATGAAAAATGCTAACTCAGTCTAAATCAAGCGTTCAATTAGAAAATATGGAAAATAAAGTTTTAAATAATAATTCTTAATGAGGTCATATTTATTTATTTGTAAAAAACAATTTTTCTTTCTGATAATTAGGGCCAAATGACAAAGTTCTTTCTCGGAAACCATCATAAAATCATTCATAAATTACAGACACGTAAAACAAACCCTTTTCTCTGCTTGTGCTACTCTTATGTCACCTTTTGACATTTACCATTATCCTGTTACGTGAACGTCAGCCACAGCCACTTACTGAACCAAAAACAAAACACAATGTAGGCCAATAGGAGAGCGAGCACCTACTATTTACTCATCACTTACCGTAAAGGTAAACTGGTCACGTCACACCCAGACAGCCCTGACCAGTCAGTGACAATCAGGAGACAGGTTAGTCATCTCCACATGAATTAAATACACTATTACCAGCCATAATTACTCACAGGCATGTGACTGACAGTTACACCGGTCGTCTGATTTGGCACCGCGGGGAAGAGCAACCACAAAAACAATGAGCGTGTCAACAACCTGTTGAAAAAAAAAAAAAAAAAAAGCATGTGGAATAAACAGCCAGATTCCTTCCTGCACATGTGGTGTTGTGATTAATTGTTTCATACAAAGCCAGCAGGACTTCCTGGAATAAGAGAAAAAAACGGAAGGAGGGGTAAACACACAGTTGTGCAGAAACTCAGTTACATAAAGTTAAAACAGAAAAAGACTGAGAATAAATCCCATTTCCTGTGCCGCTACACATGGAAAGGTTACAGAGCCTGTCAGGGGAAATTAAATTCCTCACGTCCTTGAACATACCTAAAAGTCATGGGGGGGGGGGGGGATTAGAAACATGAAGCTATCACGCTTTTAACAGCAATGAATAGTATATAGATTGGGAAACATTCTTTTTTTTTTTACATGGTAATATTTAACCAGCTGTTACTTTTATTTCCTCACAGTATTGTAGGGAATGTAGACGAGATAAGAAAATAAAGAGAAAGAAGGAAGGAAGGAAGGAGGAGATAAGTGCAGTGATGTCACTCTGGCCCACTCCTTTTTCAGTACAAATGCAGCAGAGCAGAGCTCAGTCTGCATACCACTGCTGCTGACGACCGCTCTGATCCCACACACACACACACACAGAGACACACACACACACACACAAAGGCACACTCGCTCACGTCACACACTCATCATACCGCTCTCACAGAGGCGCCGGAGCTCAGAGCAGCGCTGGAAGATGCAAGCGGCTGGCAGCCACTGAGTGAGTCCACTTTCCCTCCTCCGTGTCACCTCTCTCTCTCCCTCTCTCTCTCTCTCTCTGTGTTGTGATTGCCATTCCACGGCCCGTCTGAGCTCATTTATCTCGCACGTCTCTCCTCTGTCGCTGTGAAAACGGTCAGTGTTTTCTCACACTGAGAGACTTTTCAAACTTTTCTCTCAGTATGCCGCTCACACTCCTTCCTCTCCTCTCCTCTCCGCTCCTTGTTTCTTTTCTTTGCTCTGCAGGCAGAAGCGAATCCCGGGCCCAGAGCCAGACCTGGATGCCTTCTTTTTATGTGGATGTTGATCTGCTATATTCTCATCTTGTGATTGTTGTATTCCTGTGTGGGATGTTATTGTCTGCGAATAGTTTGGCACAATATCTCTGCTGTGGTGCCAGGCCCTTGTTCCAATGTAAGAGGAGCTGCTGCAGGTATAAGGCTGCTCGGTGGTGTGATTCTTTCTTTCTTTTTATAGAAGAACTGACCAATTTGTGTGCCTTTGTGGGATGTTTGCTATTGAATCTTCAAGTCAGGTCCAGTTTCTTTGTATTGCTTCTTTATCACAGAGTCTTTTAAAGGGCCTCACAGCTCCCACATTGTGATGGAATGAATGACAAACACACCCCACAGACAACGAACGAGAGCGTCACAAAAGCCTCACTGTGGAAAAAAAAACTACAGCTGAAAGAGACTTGAGAGGTGCCGGACAGAGTTAATGAATGAATGGATGCTGGTTCTAAGACTAATCGGAGGCAGTTAAGTTGTCTGTGTATTGTGACGACCCTCCTCGTCCCACGCACTGTAGGCCTCCCTGTTGTTGTCCTGTTGGTGCTGAATGGGGGGTCATCAGCTGCATGAGCCTCGGCATTTTCGTTGCACGTTGTGATCTGGGCTGTGACAGTATGCTGAGAAAATAAGTGGATTGAAACTACAGCGAGCTTAGGGTTTGGCTAACGTTTTATTGTTTGGGTAAGAAGATTAGAAAAATCCCATTTTTCTGCGTTCAGTCCTGCATCAGCTGTTAGCGGCAGAAAATAATAGTTGTATTGCTGTTTGGCCTCAAACCGCAGAATGATTGTGGTGTTTGCGGTTTAGTATAATGCCATGGTTCAACTTCTGCCACACCTCAAACACCGACAGAAAAAGGGTGATATTTCTCTTTTGTCAGCCTCGTATTGATAAATCGTAATACCGGACCGCCCCGAAGTGCAGATTGGTGAACTGTTATCACAGACGCAGCTCCTATTGGCTCTGTCTCAGCAACTCGCTGTGTCACATCTTTCAAAAGTGTGTGCAGTGTGGAGGCTGCTTTTATGCTGCGTGTTTACACAGTTTAAGGTGAACATTGTTCTCTGGGAATTTTTTTCTCTCTTGAGGACTAAACTGACTGAGTTCTGACTACCAGACAGGCTGTTAATGTCTGTCAGTGTTACGGGTATTGATAAGGTGCTAAGAACAGTCAGAGTGGTGTGTGTGTGTGAGAGAGGTTAGTGGTTGTCTTATACTATCCATACTATTGCTGTATTTATTTCATTTTAACTCCTCTTATTTTATTTTATTGTCACTAGATTCTTTTTTGTTATTTAGAGAATATTAGATATCTTGTATTATCTCTACTAATATCTCTTTATCTTTATCAGTCGATGAACACATTGTTGTAGTTTGTCCTGCATTGTTTAAGTTTAGTCCTAACTAAATATATATAAATATATATA